CTGGAGGGCGACCTGATGGGACAACCGGGTTATCTGGGGTAAAACCTGGGAGCCCGCGATCCAGGAGCCCGGCTGGTCTTTAACGTGGGGAGGGAGCCTTCGAGGCTCCTGAAAAAGCGAATTGTCTTGCCTTGTTTGTATGCTCCCCCCCCAATTAGCATTATTCATTTGTTTCTTGGCGTGCTTCTGCGCGCACTAATCGGAAGCTCCTTCTGTCCTGTAGCTGGCTGAACTGAAGCAGGAATGTCTGGCCCGTGGCCTGGAAGCAAAAGGCAACAAGCAGGATCTGATCAACAGGCTCCAGGCTTACCTGGAGGAGCACGGTGGGTGCTGCGGGCCGGCGGGGCCGGTCCAGCGGGGTGGGGCGTTCGTTAGTCGGCCCCTTCCCAAAGTTTTCGGTGGTGAGAGATCCCCTGGGCTTCGACCTTCGTTCGCGTGGAACTCCTGGGTGAAAGAGAAGAGCCCTGGTCCGAGCGCTTTGCTGTAGCTGCCTTTGCTTCCCGCTTTCCCGAGGGAAATTCTCATAGCAGGCTTCATCTGAGAAGCCAGAGGCATTCCTGAAGTAATTTGCTACTGCAACTGCGCTGTTGTTTTCTCCTCCAGCTGAAGAAGAAGCAAATGAAGAAGACGTTCTGGGAGAAGAAATAGAGGTAAGTCTTCTTTTGGGCAGACTCTCCTGGCAGCGGCCCGTGCAGGGGGTTTCTGGTTTGCCTGGCGGCGTGCGACCTCCCGCCGGCTGCGTCGCGGTTCAGCGCATGAGGAACGAGGCAATACCTGGGGCCGTGGCTGTTTTCATGCACCGTTGTCGTGCCTTGTTGGGTCTAAACCTGCAGTTTTTTTCTGCAGAGGCTCGGTGTCGCCGTGTTAGCCTGCCGAACGCGCGGTGGAGGTTTCTGGCAGCGTGTGTAATCTTGGTGCGTGGCCGCCGGTTCCGAGCGGGGTCATTCCGTCCACGTTCAGCAGGGTTCGCGCCGCGGTGCCCTGTGTGTTTTGTCACGAACTGAACAGCAAATGCCGTTGGAGCGTGGCGTGCTTTTAAGAAAGGATATGTAGGAAGAACTTGCCCGGCTGGTGCCCTGGCAGCGCCGGGTGTGGGCTTGGCGGGGTGGCCTGTGGGAGCGAGCCTTAAAGCAGGAGAGTTTGTTCTGAGGGGGGTGAGGAGATCCGACCTGGGAAAGCGCTTTGCGCTCGGAACGCCAGCGGGAACCTTTTCTTCCAACTGTCGGGCTCTTTGCCGCCTGGCAAGCGCGTGCCCTGCGAGGACGGGTGGAGGATGTGGCAGCTTTCTCCCCGGTTTCGCAAAAAGCCTTTGGTGAGAAGTGAGGTGGGTCTTACCGGATCGATGTCGAGCGTGAGCGCTGTGTAGTTTCGGTGTTCTTTGCTGGCGCTGCTTGCGGGCTTGAGAACATCTCACTCGAGTTATTTCCGAAGCCTTGCGAAGCCCAGACTTTCTGGTAAGGGATCAGACTTTGGATAAAACAAGAGTCTGCGTCCCAACAGCTAGTGTTCAAGCCCTGCCAGACTGAGGCTGTGAGCACCAAATATTACTTCTTGCCGCACACCTTGCCTGAGCGGGCCGAGTTCAACACGTAAGACGGAGATCTTTGGATGCCTGCAGGCTGAATTGCAGGCGCGCGCCTTTTAAACCGGCGAGAACCCAAAAGACTTGACAGCGTCCCCGCTGTGGTGTTTCTCTCTTGCTCAGCTGGCCGGAGTATTCGTTATCTGACCTCCTCTCAACTCCTTGACTTGCAGGAGGAAGAGCAGAAGCCGGTAGAGCCGCCCGTCAAAGTAGAAGAGCCTCCCGTAAAATCGCCTGATGTGTAACTATCCTTTCTGAGTAGACCAAAGCAAACCCGTGGGGTGCGAGGGCCGGTGGCGATAAAGCTTCGTACGGCCCCGGTTTGGAGTTTGGGCTGAAGGGAGGTCCCGGCACACGTTGGAGCGGGATGGTGGCCCCTGCCTCATCCCCGTGCGACAACACGGTGGTCCGCCGGCCTGTGCGGCTGCTTTCCCCTCCGTGGCTCAAAGGAAAGGGCGAGCCCCGGGCTCGTGGCTGCCGGGCCCGAGGTGGGGTGTGGGCAGGAGGGGGCGTCCTGTGCCCGCCGAGCCGCGCCGGCCAGCGCCAGCTCCCAGGTCCCAGGCAGAATTGCTTCCTGTGAAAGTGCCATTAAACCATTACTACCTTTCAGGGCATAAAATGAGAAACCTGTCCAGGAATCTGGAACAAAAGCAGTGCATTTTTCTAAATGGGAGAGCTTAATGAGGCTGGCTGTGACCCACTGTTTTATGGGAGTTGTTTGGAGGAGGAGGATGCTATTTCATTTAGCCTGGGAACTTCCGAACTTTGTCTCTTCCTCTTTTGTTTTCCCCCCTCGAGCCTGAGCTCTGTTTTCGGAGCATAAACTTTGTGGAGCACGCCCACTCCATTATATTTTCGTTCGGTCTTTTTACAGGTCTCGCTGTTGTCAGCTGCACGTTGTTCAGGAAGTGTGTGCCTGAAACGCAGCCTGGGCTCGGGGTGCTGGTGCTGGCCTGGGGAAAGCTGCCTGTGGCTGTCCCATGAACTAGAACAGAACAATCCTTTGTATTTGAGGGCCATAAAGGAATAAAGCCCTTCGGGGCTTGCAGTCGAGGCTTTGGGCTTCTAACAAGAGCCGAATGTTACTGTTAAGAGCCTTAAGACGGGCAGGGGGTTATTCCTGGGTGCGCAGGGCTGCGGCCTCGTGCTGTCGTATCCACCCGGCATTTTGAGACGCATCTGCAGCGCCCCGCTAAAATTGCAGAACGTTTCTCTTGCCTTAAACGGAGTTAATTGTTCCTCCAAGCCCGCGTAGAGAATGGGTGAGAGCGTGGCTGGTTCTTGTGTCTTCTCCAGCTTGCTTCCCATCATTGCCAAAGGAATTCGGGAGTGCTCAAGGCACTGGTTAGGCTCACAGGAGAACCCACGGCTGCGTCTTTACTGGGTCGTGTGTTTCCCGCCCCTAATACACCTTAGACTTCGGTTATAGGTTTCGCAGGCTTCATACTTCACTTTAGCATCGATATCTGGCTCTAAACTTGCCCTCAGAAGGGGGGTTGTGGCTGCTCTTGTTCTAAAAACAGGCCCTCAGTTAAGATGGCGGTGGTGTTGCCAGAGACGGGTGGCTGGGAGGAGAACCCCGATACCTCTCCCGCTGGGGCATGCCTGTGAAACGAGCGGGAGCTGTTCTGACCGATTTTTCTCTTTCCCCACGCCTCTAGGATTACGGAAAAGAAGGTAGTGAAAATAACGTCAGAGATATCGCAGATGGAGGTAAGGTTCCT